GTGTGTGTTTCTGTGTGTTTGTGTGTGTGTGTGTGTGTGTGTGTGTGTGTGTGTGTGTGTGTGTGTGTGTGTGTAGGGGGTGGCCTTGGGTGTGTGTTCTTCAAATTCCATCTTGATGTTTCCTTTTTCTGAGAAAGTCTCTTACCTGAGATTTGACAAGTAGGTTAATGCCCCAAAGTCCAGGGGATCTGACCATGTTATCTTTCCCAGTGCTGGGATTGCCAGGACATGCCATCACACTAGAATTATTTTTATTTTGGGCAGCACTAGAGAGTCAAGTCAGGGTCTCACACATATTAGGAAAGCACCTACAATTGAGCTCTAGCCCCCACAGTGCCTGACTATTTTTATCTGGGTCCTGGGGAACAAACTCACTTCCTTATGTTTACAAGGCAAATACTTTACCACTGAGCCATCTCCTTTGGAGGGAGGGCCATCTCCCTCTCCATCCCTTAGGAGGGAGAGCCGTGTCCCTCTCCATCCACAGGTCATAAATGTTTTAACAATAAAGCTACTGTTTCAATGGGAAAAAAGTTTATTTTCCTAAAAACAGGAGATTATTATTCATTATGCCATGAATTTGCCAAGATATTTTTTTACCTTTCTAGCATCTCCAGACTTATATATCCTTACCGTTTGTATGTCCATGCTTACCTCCTTAAGATTTCTAACTCTCGGGGACTGGAGTGATATCTCTGTAGTTAGAGCACATGTTTGTTCTTGTAGAAGACCTGACTTTGGCTCATAATTGCCTGTAACTCCAGCTCCAGTGTATCTGACACACTCTTCTGGTTTCCCTGGGTACCCACACATAAGTGCACATACTACCCCCCAGGCACACACATACATATAAATAAAAATAAAATAATAATAAAATGAAAAAGACTTCTTTGAATCTCAGCAAATGCATAATTTATAATAATTTATCGATGACAGTTATGGATACTAGTCGAAAGCATAGCTATCTCACCTTCACAAAACAGTAAGAAATGTTGGTTCATGGGACTGAAGCTGGCATCAAAATATGTACAATGTTCTTTCATAAAGTTACATGATATGCAATCACGACTCAGCAGTCCTTCAGTAGAAGCACTGGGGAAGAAAACAGAAGTAGGAAACATTGTTACTCTAGACACTCAACATCATGACATCCACATTTGAATACAGAGCACCAGAAACAGGAAACCTACCACAGGGCTTCTGTGGAAGCTGCTATTATGTTTTGTCAAATACATGCAAAGTCACTTCCCATTATTCATTCACACATTTCTTCTCAGAATAAAACTTAAATTGTGTATGTGTCTATCTATCTATCTATCTATCTATCTATCTATCTATCTATCTATCTATGTATATATCTTTGTATCTATCTACCATCTCTCTATCATTCTATCATCTATCTATCTAATTTATAGATATATATGGTTCTAGAGAAAGATGATGAGAGGCTGGAGAGATGGCTCAACAGTTCAGAGCACTGTCTACTCTTGCAGAAGACCTGGGTTTGGTTTCCAGCACCCACATGATGGCTGAAAACCATCTGTAACTCCAGTTCCAGGAAAATCCAATGCCCTCTCTGATTTCCATGGGCATTGTATGGCACTATCACACTTGCATACATGCAGACAATATACTCATACACATAAAGAAATAAAATTTACTTGCATACATGCAGACAATACACTCATACACATAAAGAAATAAAATTTAAACCAAGACAGATGATGATTTACATGGGTTTCACTATTATTCATTATTACATGTTTCATTATAACTTGTTTCCTACATTGTAACTTTTAATACATGTTATTTTTATTTATGTGTGCGTATATCTATGTGTATATGCACACATGTATGAAATGCCCAAGGAGGCCAGAAGAGAGCATCAGAACCCCTGGAAATGCAGATACAGGCAGTAATGAGCTGCACTAAATAAGTGTTGGGAACCAAACACAGGTCCTCTGCAAGAGCAGTGGGTGCTCTTAAAATTGGAGCATCTCTCCAGCACCTACACTGTCTTTAAAAAAAATTTTATGTGTATGAATGTGTTGCTGGCATGTAAGTGAAACTGTGTGTGCTATACCCATGTAGGCCAGAAGAGAAAAGCATCCAATGCTCTTAGCCAATAAGCCAGCTTCAGATTCTACTTTTTTTCATTATAGATATTTTCTCTACAATATTAAAAGAAAATTTCACACAAAGACTAAGATAAAGCAAACCTAAATCAATATTACACAAAAAGAATAAATATTTCTGAAAATCCCTCTTAAACCAAGCTCATGATTTTCTATACTCACTATTCTAAACATTAGAATTTAGCAGGCGATATTTTCCTATCAAGGCAGGTTGTATAATTTTTCATAAAGACATCATACTTTTGTTTGATAATACATGCAATGCTAATGATAAGACACATTGGTATACTCAAGCTATTTGTCTATATTTGATGATAAATGATGCTTTCTAAAGTCAGAAGGAAGGACCAATTCATTCACAGTTCAATTTAATATATTGACCTCTTTTATTTTACAAATAGATTTGAGGAGGATATTACCTTAAGTCAGTGGATGAAAACTAAATATTTTCTTTCCTTCCCAAAAAGGAGAGGATCTTATGATTCTTCCCCTAGGATCTATCAGCAGTTTATGATTGGTGAGGGAAGGAGAGACATTTTCCTTAGTGGTATACCCATTAAGACATTTTCTGTGTTTCTGTAAGTAATCACTCACTCATGCTCCTATAAGTAGTCCTAAATGAATCTCCTTGGATAACCAGAAAGAAAAATAAAGGAAGGAAGGAAGGAAGGAAGGAAGGAAGGAAGGAGGGAGGGAGGGAGGGAGGGAGGGAGGGAGGAAGGAAGGAAAGGAGGAAGGAAGGAGGGAAGGGAGGAAGGAAGGAAGGAAGAAAAGAAAGAAAGAGGGAGGAAGAAAGGAAGGAAGGAAGGAGGAGGGAGGAAGGGAGGGAGGGAGAAGGAAGGAAGGAAGGAAGGAAGGAAGGAAGGAAGGAAGGAAGGAAGGAAGGAAGGAAGGAAGGGAGCACTGGCTTAAAAGAGGAAGATTGGGAATGAAAAAATGACTCAGCAGTTAAGAGCACTGGCTGATCTTGCAGAGAATGGGATTTGGTTCCCAGCATCCACATGGTGACTAACAATGGTCTGTAACTCCAATTCCTGGGACTCCAATGCCCTCTTCTGACCTATTAGTATATTGCACTACATGGGTGCACTTACATACATGCAGGCAGTACACTCATACATATAAAAAAAATCTTAGAAATTAAAGGAGGATAGTAGATGGGGGATGAGGAAAAAAAAGGAGGGGCTGAATATAATTAAAATGCATTATACATATGTTTCAAAATACAATAAAACTAATAATTTTATCTAATTAATATATGCTAATAAGACTTTTCCCCTTTTTTTATAGAATGTTTTTACTGAACTTGTGTATTTCATACAGAACATCTTAATCAATCTTAATCATCTTTATAACCCAGTCCCCACTGGCATCCTCCCATAAGCCCCACCCCCACCCCACACTGCAGCCCATGTATTCTGTCATCCCTCTTAAGGCCCTCTGTGTCAAGTCAGTGTCCTCAGACATTCCCCAGTGCAAGTCCATCCACTGAGGTCTAGTCAGCCTGTCTAGAGTCTCTTGTTTTAGGAGGATCAGCTCTTTTTAACCTATCAGCCATCAGTTGCCAATATTTCTTCAGATTAAGACTGGGGTCTGCTATTCATTTTCATAGTTCTATGCTAAGTTTTTGTCTGCTTGAGTTGCATGGGACTTGTGTATGCTGACACCATTGCCAAAAAATCATATGAGCAAGTTCCCAGGAGCTTGTAGGACTCTGTTTCCATATGGTCCTGCTTCTCCTCGCTGAATCTTAAAATCTTTCTGTCCACTCTTCACCGATGGTCCCTGAGCCTAAGTTGGTGACATTTAATAAGGAGTCTTCTCCAAGAACCAGCATGCAGCAGACTCTTAATTTCTACTTGTCATTTGTGACCTTTAGTGTTCCTGGCCCTCTGCTGCATGAGGGAGCTTCATTAATGAGAACTGAAAGATTCATTAGTGTCCTCTTCTTTGCCCCTGTTTTATGTTCCATGAGCCTTAGGTATAGAGATTGCATTGTAGATGTGTCATTTAGGCCTGGCCAATTCATAGACAATGTCCTTGTGTGACCAGTTGTGGTACTTGGTAATAGTCTCTAAATGGTGAAGGTTGACTGAACAAAAATGTTCTCAATTACATTTTGGAATGAGTCACAATTTTGGCAACATTTGTATACGTGAATAACAATCATGTCAGTTTTGCTGTGCAGCACGTGACAGTCCTTGGAAGGCAAGAAAGAATGTTAGCATGGATACTAGAGCACAAGGGGCCAGGCTGTGTCAGGCCCCAGTCCACAGAGTCAGAAACTCATGTGTACTACACTATGAATCATCACAACAGACTTTTCTTAGTGAAAGAAATTTATCATAAAACTCCATCTTTTTGATGACTTGTGAGACAGTCATGAAAATTTAATTAAATTACTGCTAAATATATTTGTCATTTCAATCATTTTTTAGAGAACAGCCAGCTTTAGTAATTATAATCACTGTGCTGTGAGCTTTAGCAGTTTTCTGGACTGTATACAGATCTTCAGTGATGCTCCAGTATTTAAAGCCATTCTCTCTGTTGTGTCCTGTAAAATTTTCACACCCAATATTCCTAGAGATAGACACTGGTTTCTTTCTCTCTTTCTTTCTTTCTTTCTTTCTTTCTTTCTTTCTTTCTTTCTTTCTTTCTTTCCTTCTTTCTTTCTTCCTTCCTTCCTTCCTCCCTCCCTCCCTTCCTCCTTCCTCCCTCCCTCCTTCCTCCCTTCCTCCTTCCTTTCTTCCTTCCTTTCTTTCTTTCTTTCTTTCTTTCTTTCTTTCTTTCTTTCTTTCTTCCTTGCTTCCTTCCCTCTTTCTTCTTTCTTTTTCTTGTGTTTATTCTTTCTTTTTCTTACTTCCTTTACTTTTTCTTTGTATCTATTTTTCTCCGTTATCGCTCTTTCTCTCCCTTTCTTGTATATGCATGCATGTGTGTAGATGTAGTCACCTGCACATGCACAAGTAGAGGCCAACTTGGTTCCTCATTTTTTGAGACAGAGTCTGTCACTGGAACCTGAAGCTCAGCACTTCTCTAGATCATCTGACCAGTGTCTCCAGGGCTCCTCCTGTCTATACTTATTCAGCACTAGATTCCCTGGGCACACAGCCATACTTGGCTTTTATTTGGGTGCTGGAAACCAAAGTCAGATGCGCATGCTTTTCAGAAAGCACTTTACCCTCTAAGCTAGCTCCTTATATCCTCATTATTTGGATTATGAGAGTACTAAAGTAAGAAATGAAAATTTCAAAACAGGATGGGAACACTGAATATGGTAACATACATAAAGTACCCAGTGATCATTTTTATAGTTGAGCAAGATATTAGCTTAGTTTGTTCAGTGAGCCAGCACATTTCTAGTTACATTCTAATACTATGATAAATACCATGATCAAAAGGAATCTGGGACTCCCATCCTCAGACCTCTTGGGGCAAGTCCATAGCGCAGCCCTCCACTCTTTGACTCTCCAAGCCACATTCACCCTTCCACCTCCCCCGCTGTTCTATACTCCTAGTTTGGGCCCTGTGCCATTCCTAGTCTTGGGGCCCAAGACACCTGGGGAACCAATACTGCTTCCTGATCCTTTTCACCCAGAACAACTTAGTGCCTTCCCTGGGCCCTAGGAGCACTGCGTCTGGACCTGGCCCCGCCCTCACCTCCCTTTACTTCCCTGATACTGCAACACCCACTAGCCTCTTTCTGGGGCTGACAGACTCTTTCTGGGGCTGACAGCCTCTTTCTGGGGCTCCGAGGCTTACCTTTCTGCTCCCTGATCCTTTGCATCCAGTACAACCCAGCTACTCAATCCACTCCCTGGGAAATCTTGGGGCTTCTTCCCACCCTTCTGCCTTTGCATCCATCAGTGGCACGGCCACGGCCAGGATTTCAGGTCAGTCCAACACCCAAGTTCCTGAGGTCAAAATCATTCTTAGAAGATTCCAGACCTAAGGAGA